AAATACAAACCTATTTTTCCATAACTGTTCATCATACTCGTATACATTTTGCAAATATTGTGACTAATTTAATTACTTTTCCTGGAAATTTGATTTTAAACAGATAATGTGCACTCTAGTATTTTTTAATGTTTTATTTAGCATATTTTTTAAAAGACTTGGGTGTTCAAACTATGAGAAGCTCACAGATGACATTAGGGGAAGGTGAATGCATCTCTGACCAAGCCAGTGCCTTGGTCTGCTTAACTTAGTATTGTCAACACCCAGCAAATCCTGCTTTCACTCAAGCAAACTCTAAATTCTGGGGCAATCCAAAAACCAAGGGAGTGTCCTTTTGAGAGGCATGGATCTACATCCACCTCCCCACAAAGGCTCAGTGTCCTCCTGGTCTTTTGACATGGAATGTTCAATGGCGCCAGTCCCTTCTCAGAAGCAGAGATGGAGGGCAAGACACAAGGGTAGAAATGTCATGTCCTCAGCCTGAATGCAACCAGCAGGATTCCCCCTGCTCATTTCCTGTAGGAAATATTGGGTTGGAGGGGCCAATGGTCTTTTTATACTGGAAGACTTTTTAAAAGCCTAACTGCAAAGGGTGTGGGGGGCAGGGGAGACTTGGGGAACTTTTTACTGGAAAGGGAAGGATTAATCTGCCCTTCCCATGCACTGAGCATCCCTCCACAAAAAAATGGCCCCATACAAAGCAATTAGGCTTTCAAAATCCTCTTTGGCTTCAGTGGAAAGCCATTTTCCAAGCGTAATTGCTATGTGGAGAGGGTCATCTTTCTATTATATATGAGAGCAAATGTGTCTGTGAATTAATGTGCATATGGTATGTATGGATAGGGATGTATGCATGTGGTTGAGAGTGTTTGAAGTCTCTTACACACACACACCCAATGCCCCTCTGGTATGTAGCTCTCAGAAGGTTAGCTATACCATATTGTGGTTCTTGAGCTACAAAACCTTTCCCATTCCTGGTCTATCCTGACTGGCAAAAACTTTCCAGGGCTTCAGATAAGGGTTTTCTCAGTCTTACCTGGAGATATCAGGGATTAATTTTGGGCCTGCATTTGCAAAGTATTCAATTTACCATTGAATTATGGCCCTCCCTTAAAAGAAGTAGGGAACATGAGTCCTCCTTAAGAACGAGCCAGAGGCATCTGCCTGCAGTTTGAAAGAGAATGTTGAACTAAATGTATCCTAATCTAATCCTTTTAAGACAATTCTCACATTCTTGTATTGTATCAGCCATCACATAAAATGTCCTATAGATGATGCAGTTCAGCAAGCTGCCATTATAAAGGACAAAATGAGCTTGCACAAATGCATGTGATGTAGCAATAGCTGAATGATCCGGTATTAGGCAATGTTGGGCTCCCTCAGTGGCTTTAAATTACTGAAATCCCTGTTTAAAATCATAGGCAGCTAGAGAGGACTTGCCGGTTTAAAAAAAATGTCTTAAGTTATAGCACAGGATGGTGCTGTAACATCTGGTTATATGGTTATATGGTTTTTAAACATACACCTATCAAACTTTCCTCTTCTACAATCAGAGAAGTGTATTTTCAGTCTCACTTTATTTGTACATTGTCTCACACTGAAGGTAAAATGTGAAGCAGTGTTATCCAGCAGTTAAGTACAACTAAAAACACAATCAATCCCTTGCAGTGTTATATGATTACCCAGATGGAATAGAATGCATATGCACTCATGTTGCCTGGTTTAAAGGGAGGAAAATACTGGGATCATGACAGTCAGGGATTTTATAAGGAACACTGAGTCAGGGAATAAGCTTCATTCCTAAATCCATGCATATGTTCACAGAAGCCTAGACTGAGGCAATAAAGAACAGGTAAGTGACTGCATAACTCAGATAAATGATAGGTGTAAGAAGGGGTAAAAATACAGAAACTTTTAAAAAAAATCTAGTGAGAGAGATTGAGAGTCAAAAGCACAAAATGAATTTGATCACATCTCATGTTACAAAACATTTTTAATTTATTTAATAGCATGTTTTCCTACTCTGTAATTATACTGTATATTTTCTTTTAAAAAAGTTCAAACATATTATTGCATATCATTATTTCCAAATTAACCCATGAATTTTTGCTAACTTTATATTCAGACACAATATGAAAGGTGTATCAATACTGAATGTTAATCTTCAGGGGAGGTCAATGACAGATGTTCTGAGGAAAGCAGCACCCATTTAATAATCTTTGCTAAGGGTTTTGTTTTCGTTTTTTGGTCAGACAGAACAACACTGGCAATAGTGAAACACAAGCTGGAGAACTTCAATGAGTGTATTCCTGAAATGTGACTATTTTACCTGTACCTCAGTGTGTGTGGACTATTTTGCATAATTCTAGAGACCTTTAAGGACTTAATTATTACAGAATATTATTAATATCACTGAGACGTGGCTTTTAACATTATGTCAATGTCTATATAGTTGCACTCATCTTGTGGAATGACAGAAACATATACGTGAAAAAGATAATGACAATGCAAAATTCTGTATTTTAGTTCTGAGACGGTTCAAGCATATACAGCATATACATAATAAAGCTTAGGGGGTTTTGCATCATCTAAAAGAAGCAATAATGAAAAGGCTGAATACTGTCCTAAATTCAACATCCACCTAGTGCATCCTGCTTTTTCACCTTTGAAAGACTCACACGCACACACATGTAAGAGATACATTATCAGCAGTAATTTACACTATGTATATATATATGTGTGTGTGTGTGTGTGTGAACTTTATAAAAAATACAGAAAAGAAAAGGATATTCCTTACACTCAGATACTGAGCATTAACCCTTTGAGGACTAATTCTACCTGCAAAACACTGCAGAACACATTCAACTGACACGCATTTTTGATAATATTCCAACACTTATAATAATCATCTGCTATGTACACTGTAAGGAAACAGATTCTCACACATCATAACATGGAGGGACTCATAACATGCTGATAATAAACACATAATGAATTGAAGTCAGTAAGGATCCTGAAAAAATAATTCTATAAATTCCTCCCTAGGGAATTGCCTAAATCAGCTTTGCCCACCTTGGTGACTTTAGGATGTGCTGGATTTTGTTCTCATCATTCACAGTCAGTACAGCCAATGGTCATGCTGGCTGGGGATGGTGGGTGTTGTAGTCCAATACAGCTGAAGGACACCACACTGGGGAAGGCTGGCCTTAATTGTATATAATGTAATGGCTATTTTAACTTGTGATATGCTTATACATTTGCTACTGTGCTATACTAACACTATATAATATTATGCTTGTTCTTTTTTATTTGTGGAAAACTGACTCTTTTTTCATTAAAGCCTTCTATAGTGGGTTGTACAGTTCCATTCACATTATGTCACCAATCAGGATTCAGATGCTATTTCTTTTCTTCCTTTTCTTTTTTTTAAAGGGCAATTGTAATTCTATTTTTTACTGTGAGTCAGTGCTTTGTGTCCAGATGTTCATGGACACACATACACAGACACACACTCTGAATCTCTCTTTGCCCAAAGCCTCATGTATAGAGAATGTTGCTGACCCTAATTTGTCCTCAAGCAGTACAAATGAATAAAAAGTCCTGCTATGAAAGGTCAAATCTGCATGGAAGTATAACAACAATTTCAAATTTGCTTTTGACAGATGATTTAAAGGCATGGGAGAGAGAAGGATTTCATCTAAAATGTAGAATAAATAAATAAATATTCTTTAAAAATTATATTTCTTTACATTGCAGTCCTTACTGGAAGTAAGGTCCACTGTATCAGCTGAGGCTTACCCCCTAGAAAGGATGTTTAGAATTGCAACTTTAAAGTGATGTAGCTTTCACTCATCTCTACTATATAGTTATTATCATGATATAAAATAACACTCCATGTTCAAGTCCTCCTTTCAACTCCAAATGAGAATAAAGTAATGATTGAACACTTTTAAGTTGACTGTCAATGGAAAAGACTTAAGTGGATGCACTCCTTATCACTTTGCTATTAACATTAGTGGGTCTTCAAAGTAATTAGCCTGGGCTGGATTGTGCCCTAAGCCATATGATAAGTAATTGCCTGTAGTTCTCAAAGAGTTAATGATTAAACTGTTCTGCTTCTGCTTTTCTTTTAAAGAAGATGAAAGGAGAAGACAGATTGCAGACTGATTCCAAAGACATACTACAGAGAAGTGAAGCTGATGGAGAGAGCTGCTGTTACATTGCACAGTGCCACATACAAGGAATAGTGCATGCTCTGTAGAGACATTAGAGTGGACCCTTATCAAAGCTATCATATAACCTTATACAAAGAATTGTGCCACGTGAACTAGTGCAGTAGTGATTTTTTCTTTTTTCATAGATTCAAAATGCTCTAGATTAATACCAACATGAATAGTCACAATAGGTTTCTTTTCCATTTTACACATGTTAACACTAAGAAAACAGCAAATGGTATTATTCCATTGTGTGTCATGCAGAAAGAAAAAGAAAAAAAATACAACCAGTACAGCACCATAGATGTTAACAAGGGAAACTACCTAGTATTTCTCTTCAACAGAAAAGAGACATAATAGCAACTGTACATGACATGGTTTTACAGGCCACATACTATGGAAGGTCTTTAGAGGCAGTATCACTTTTGTTGGTGTAAAAGGCTGTGCTAGTCTGCTCATGACATCCTACTTCTCTTTATGCTACTGTAACATTAAAAACCAATGGAATAACACTGTCTGGATACAAAAACAACCAAGAAAAGGCTCTGTTGCTGATATGCTTATAAAAATGTCTGATCTTCATGCAGGTTTTTTTTTAAAGGAAAACAGTGTTGTATACTGTAACAAAAGGATATTGCCTCATATTCCGCTCTCTAGCTTTATTTCTCAGTTCCCCACCAGCCATGTACCATCATTCTCATTCAAATAATTTTGAGACTACCACTGCTTTTTAAAAGCCTCTTCTTATTAAGAAAACAATAGGTTGAAAACCTGTACAATTTACTGATGTGCTACACAAATATGTAGAATCTTGCTCAGTTTAGAAGGAAAACAAAGAACAACAGTGCACTCCTAAGCATATCTGTGCAGTAGTAAGCCCTATTATATTCAGCTGGACTTACTCCCAGGTAAGTATGTATAAGATCACAGCCTAAGATAGTTTGAGCTTTAGAAGGAGAAGGACTTCCAACTACACAGTAGTTTCATTCTTCCAAGGGCCAGTTTTGATATTTCCTGTACTATCTGAACTGTAGATCATGGCTTCATGCAGGTTCCCCTTTAGAATCCCATTGTGGCTGGCTGTGCTAAATGGCAAGGACTGTGTCCGTGGATGCATCTCAAAATGAGCTGCATGATGCACTGTCTCACTTTCCGGAACTTTAGCACAACTGTAGATCACAGTACTTGCATCGCTACTTTCAGGCTGGCTAATGGTAGGATACGGGTCATTCTTTGCACAGCACGGCCGCCTGTGGCCAGACTGACTGTCGTGTGTACTGTGTGGACTGTCTGTGTGGGAGCTGTGAATGCTGCCATCAATACTGGAAGGAATATGGTAAGCATACTCTCTTTCGCCTGCAGACCGATGTCGGCTGAAGTATCGTGGCTTAGTTCTGCTTTTCAGACATCTGTGGATGTGCATGTTGGGTCTGAAAGTCCCCTCATTGTGAATGTGAATATGAGCTTCATCTTCCAGAAGCTGATCACAGTGCATTTTTGCACAGCATGGTGTGACTGGTGAAAGGCAGTTGACATGATTTTGAACAGCCTGGAGGTTTGTAAGTTTGCAGTGGCTAGCAGATGGATGATTAAAAACAGCAGGTTTACCAGGGCAGGGTGATTCCTGAAGACATGGAGCATGAATCTGACTTTCCCCATTGACATTAACTTTTGGCCGGACATTAACTTGCACTGAGTAAGTGTTTCTCCTAGATGGGCAACAGGACCACCAGCAATGCCACACATCATCTCGCTTTGCACAGTGATGGATGAGGATGAAAAGCCCCAAGGTCACACAAAATGCTCCATATAAGCAGCTAAAGATCATATCCAAGAAATGTCCTTGAGAAACCGCAAGTGCACCAAAGGTCCATGTCGCGGTAAACAGGAACAAGGTGAATGCAGCTGCTCGGAGCTGAGCTTTAAATGAGTGTTCATTTTCCAGCAAGGAAGAAGAATTCATTGAGCATGTAGCCTGGGAGACTGATCCAGTGTCAGTAATGTGACTATGGCCAACCTCTGGACTTGCCAGCCTTTGCTGATCTTCTGTCCTTTCCTTTAATTCATATTTGCGTTCTGGGTGACGTCTCAATTGCACATATGTGCAGAGGAAATAAATGCAGGTGACCAGGACTATGAATGCAACTGGACCATAAAATGCGCCAAGACTTGGCTCCCAAGACATCCAACAACTGCAGACATCAAGGAGAAAAATAGGTACTTTTAAACAAAAAGAAACCAATTACTAGCATTCCATCTAGATTTCTGCAACAGACATGCAATACAATAGCAGCAGAATAAATGGACTATGTTATTCAAAATGGTTTAAAACATGGGACAGCTTCTCATTTCAATTTCATTTCAAAACAAATTTAAAACCCAGTATACTCCTTGCAATAAAATCTTTGATGCATATCAACATATATACATAGACACATATGGCCAAATACCAGACAGAACCATGGAAATAATCATTACAAAAAGTATTAACCCACGACCATTTTTCACACAATGTACAGAGCTTAAGGTAAAACTATTCTAGCTGGAGCCATACTCTGTGTCTTATACAGCCACAATCCCATGGATGCTACATGCTGCTAGAAAGCCATAAGAAAACCCAAAGAAAAGCACTCTGAGATCAGAGCTGGGGGGTCTGAAAGCAGAGAGCCCTTGGCTAGTGCACTCCTTTCTATGCCAACTGTGCCTCCAAGGTTGGAAGATCAACTTCAAGGCCAGCTTTTTTTTTTTGCAGGGGGGCAAAGAGGAGGGAAGAGTGAGGCTCCACCAGACTATGAGGAATCCTGGTAATGTTTCAGCATTTCATCCTCACAGGTGGGTTTTGGGAGTTGAAAGAAGTGCAGAGGCAGTCCTTGCCTCTGTGCTTCTTCTATCTTCCACAGATTGCTCCAAGCCAAAGCATTGCAGGAAGTCATATTAGATGCTGTTGTACAAGAGCTAAGAGGGCACCTATTGCAGTGGCATCTTTAAGCACAGGGTACCTGCTGGCTGAGAAGCAGTTCCTAACATGTCACATCACATTTGGCCAGTGCTTTGCAGGAACAGAGAGTGTTGTGTCATTTTGAGCACATATTGTAACTTCTGTTTCTTATTCAGTAGATGTGGAATGGCATCTCTGCCTTGCACCACAAAGTGGGGAGTAGAGGACTTTTGGAAGGAAAGAGATGGTAATAGAAGGGAAGACTGCAGAAAGCCAAGAGCAGGAAGTCCGAGAGCAGGGCTAGCAAGGAAGAAGCAGTACTGTTCTCCAGCTTCCCTAGTTCCTGGCTGGCACCAATCTCATCCTGTAAGTGAGAGGATGAACAATTTAACACGAAAGTCTCTCAGGCAGATTTTTCTAACATGACACCTTCCAAGTAAGTTGTACTAGAGCTGCCATCATCTCAGCCACCACGGGCAAGAAGAAAATCGGTTAGAGATGATAGAGTTGTAGGCTACAACCTCTAGAAAGGGTCAGGTTGGAGAAGGCTGTTCTGGAATATCTTGTTAGCACTGGAGGAGTTCATCTTCAAGTGGAGGGCAGAGACATTGTAGTGTGCCCTGGTGGGTGAGTGGAGCGATCAGCAGAGGCATGGGAGGAGGTGGTGGGAAATTAGTGCCTTATTCAAAAGACAGTGCAATGTTTATTTCCCAATGTACTTGTCTTCCTGACATGTTTCAGATCTTTCTTCATCCAGAGCAATTTAAATTCTTTGAAGCTTCCCAACAGCAGTCTCACTATAGAGAGACCTTTCGATGCTGCAGCCATCTACTTGGCCTCTACAATTGCTTCATTGATCCCACTTGTTCTTTTCTATGGGGAAAAGCCTCTGGCAATGATGGCAGAGGAATCAGCTTTCATAGCTGACATAGTCAGCCATACTTGATTTGAGTTGAAAATTTTCTCTGTGTGCCTTAATTAGGAAAATGATGCTTAATGGTGTCTTTGTGTAATGTATGGTTTCATCACGTTTTTCCTTGATACACATTCCCCACCCCCGCCCTCCATTAAAAGAATCAGGGCTTGCCTGACTGCAGAAGTAACATAAGCAATCACTTGGGGTGGTATTACTTTCTAGGCACTGCATGCTAGTTGCTGAGAAGCTTGGACAGGTGGAATCTTGTGGCCCTCCTGTGCGAGGGATCCTGTGGAGAGCTGGTTTGCCACCATGTAAGCAGAGTGCCACACTGGATGGATCACTGGTGTGATCCAGCATGGCATTTCTTACTCCAAAAAATCCTTCCTAGAATCTCCTGCATTGAACCTGATATATCCTTCTCAGATTGTGCAATGCAGCCACGTTGCATGGCTACACTGGTTAGCCTTGATAAGAACATGCCTTTCAATCTCTTTTCTTTCTCTTCTGTCAACCATGTGAAATTACTCAGGCTGAGGAGTCTCACACACTTAAAATGTTAATAGTTGCATCTGATAGGAACAACACACAACTCTGAATGCATCTCTTAAAAAGTTTCATGATCTGCACAATTTATGCCAAGTAAAAGTGGAGCAATACCCAGTGGAACTGTCTCTCTTAGGAAGCTGCTATTTTCAAGAAGAGCTTCATCACAGGCCACTTCAAAAATCAGTTCCATAAAGAATACACTGAAGTTAGTGCATCTACATTTTCATGTAGTAACACTATTAAAAATGAGTAAGGCACACAACCCACTGTGCTGTTGCTCTGTTTGTCTCTCCCCACATCCTCCGGAGCACTCCACCTGCTTCCCAGCTTTCTGCTCACATTGTGATAGCTGGTATTGATTACCTGTGATTAAAGTGATTAAACTAAAGTAATGCAACCTGTGCAAAGTGCTGAAGGGAAAGTCTCTGACAAATTTATGAACATAAATAACCAGATCTTTTAATACCCTGTTGATTCTAAGTGATTGTCTAATCACACATGTTGGAATAAATAAGTTTTAATATGACAGACTAATTCCAGAGAAGCTCCACCCTGTTCACAGGAACCTGCCAAATTCATCACTCATCTGTTGTCTGATTCTGAAATGGAATTTACTAGACATATTTTTATAAATACTTGTTTGTGTTTCTTCTCTTGTTACAAATGTGGTAACATGGATATGGAACCAGCCCTTTCAAAAATTCTTTATCCACAGAAATGTGCACAAAAGGTTTTTTAAAAAAATAATTGCAGTTGTACAAATGTGTTCATTCACTTAAGTGTAACTGCATGAATTTCAAGCCTTGGCTGAGACAATGCCCAGGGGAGAGTGTCTGCTGCTGCTAATGGACAGCAGGTGCCCACCCTGGAGACTGCCCAGAAAAGGCTCAAACTACATTCCCTCTTTGGTGAGTCATCAAAAGAAAACCAAGATGTGAAGGATGTTTGCTGAAGAAGGAGGTGTTTTGGGGAATTTTCAGCACACAACCTTCTCAGCAAGTGCCTTATCTGATTTGGTTTGCCTGCTTCATTCTCCATAGAGGAGCAAATTTTGGATTTTGTCCTGAGCCTCTACTTCCTCCCCTGCTTCTGGAAAAAGGCTTGTTTGAAGAGACGGCAAATCAGCCATAATACAGGCAATTAATACTGGATGAAGTAGACCGTAGTCCACAAAGCTTGTGCCATAAGAAATGCATTAGCTATAAAGGTGCCACAAGACTTGTTATTTTACTTAATATGCTTTCGATGTTTATGTTCATTAGAGATACAGTATTTTATATATGCTCAGTCTCAAAAAGAAGTGCTCCCATTCAGGGCCCTAGGGTCCTTGCAGTGCTATTCAGGTCTCTTGGATGAGTGGGAACTATAGCTATAAAGGGGGGGGGGGGTACACACTTCAGTGGGGAGCAACCTTAGGTACACCTTTCCCCAAAGCTAATCATCCCATCCAGGGTACTTGCTATAAGTTGTTCAAGGTCTGAGCAGGCCAACATTTTTTTTCTCTTGTCTGACACCCTAACATTACATCTATCCAATTGCCTTACATCTTTTCTCTCTGTATAGTAACAGAGCGAGTGAGAAGGGGTCTCCCAGGCCATCTAGTCTGACTCCCGGCTCCAGCCGGCTCTGCTCATTACATGCCCACCATGAACTCAATTGCCATAAATACAGTGGGCGAGTTTGTACACCATGCTAAACCACCTTAAAAATAATCCATTATGGGATGGTTGATTACTCACTAATCCAACAGATGATGCAGTACTCTGTGGCTTCTTCCCCCATAGTTCACTGTCAGTTCTCCTGTTAGCTCTATCACCTGTCTCAAGTACCTTTGCAGCAGAACTCCTCATTTCCTCATTCTCTCAGTATCCTTTCTGCACTTAACCCACTTTGTATATTTCTTCAGAAATTATACCCACTCCAAAAACTCCTTCTCAGCCCCTTTAGACTCCCTGCTCCCTCCTCATGCTTGCTGCTTTCCTGCACTGGTGACCATCATTAAGTGAGATCAGCGGGAGAGGCCCTTCTCCGGGAGCCCCCCGTGAGAGAAATTAGGAGGGTGGCTACTCGGAGGAGGGCTTTCTCAGCAGTGGCGCCTAAGTTATGGAATGCGCTCCCCAGAGAGGTCCGCCTGGTGCCGTCGTTATTTGCTTTTCGGCGCCAGGCGAAGACCTTTTTATTTAAGCGGCATTTTAACTGTTAATATTATTTGATCTTATCTGGCCAGGGCGGCTTATTTTATATTGTATTTTTTGGATTTTTAATGTTTATATGTGTTGTAATTTATTTTATAATTGCCTTTATTTATTGTTTGTAAGCCGCCCCGAGGCTTCGGCGAATGGGGCGACATAAAAATGTTTTAATAAATAAATAATAAAAATAATAAATTAATTAACTGATCTGCATATGACAGACTGAGTAGTAAAGCAGATCACTAAAAACATGCAAATTCCAGAGAAAAGTGCTAAAGCAGATTGGAAATTACAGCAATTTCACAGCGGTAGAAACACACTTGTGTAAGACCAAACCTTCTTTCCTTCCTAGGTTGCAAATGTATTTGGAATGTTCCCCAGTGTTATTGTTTCTCAATCCACGGGAACACAGGGTAGGGAGGAGATAACAAGATTTGTTCTGTTTTTGTTTTGCTACCCTTGCCAAGTACCTCATTAGCCCTTTCCAATAATCACTTCCAAAGGCATTGTACCATGTTCACAGATGTCACCTTGAACAATCCAGTAACAAGCCATGGATTCTTGGTGTGGCTTCTTTGTGAAAAACAAGTCTTCTGTGTGAACCACGTTGCGTTCAGCCATCGCAACAGCATCCATGTGTCACCATGCCATACAAGCTAAGTCACTTTCTTGGTTCTGGGACCTCACAAGTTCCTGCTTGGGAGTTTTTCTTATTAATTTTCTTTCAAAATACAATCATCATCATCATCATCATCATCATCATCATCATCATCATCATCAAATGTATATTTCATTTCTACACTGCCCAACAACAGAAGCTCTCTGTGCAGTTTATAACAACTTATACTTCTGCATATCCAAGATGTCCCCTGAATATACAGAAATTGTTTTTGGTAGCCCCAGTTGCTTTCAAACAGGTAGTTGCTTGTCTTGGGCATCATGACAGCTTCTGATAGCTAGAAGGCATTCTGAGATACTCACAATTGGGCTCCTGCATAGCTTTTTATCCCATAATTGTTTATGTTGGTTGCTGCTGTAATTCCACAAATAATAAAAGGAACTCCCCCGCTAATCAGATAAAACCTGTTAAAAAGACAGTATCAGACAGGTGAATTTGCTTAGCTTCATTTAAATAGTATTCTTCATAAAACATTATTTTTCATGCTTGCAACAGCCATGTATGAAAACACAATATAGCTTAGGTCATTAACTTTATACATTCATTAAAATCATAAATAAATCAACATTAAATTATTCCATCTGATACAGGAAACAAAATGTGCACTTCACAATTTCTTCATATGTCACTTACTCAAAACCTATATTATAATTTATCTGTAAATGAAAAGCTACCTGAAATTGGAAAATTTTCTTTTGGAACATTAAGGATGTATTGTTGTCAGCTACTAAATTTTATACATCAAATCATTTTAATTTAAAAAGTTGTGGCCAAAGTGAAACCATGGAATCAATCTCCTTTTCTCAGGCAGTGTTGCCAGATTAACAAATGGCCTTACCTAATTCTGCTGAAGAAACAGCGTTTTGAAAATTAATAGAAAAGTCTAATAAAGCAAAATACTATTCTTTCTCACTTCATTAATTGGCAGCATCTTCGCAAACACCTCTAGTGCTGTCCTTGTGACCTGCTGCCCTTCAGCCCTATGGAGTGTAAGGAAGTACCCCACCAATAACCTGATCTTGTAATTCTTCTTCATCATCATCTTAATTTCTATACCACCCAACAGCCAAAGCTGTCTAGATGGTTCACAAAGCATGTTTAAAAAAACCCAATGACAGATACATTATATTAAAAACATATTAAAACATTATTAAAAGTTTACAATACAAAATTTAAAATCACGTAACTTGAAAAAGAAGGGGGAAAGCTAAATATTCAGACCTGATTAACAGCTTAGTAGGTCCCAGTAAGGTACCTGAAGGCCCTGTAGTAGAGGACAGTCTTTACCTGACACTGAAAAGATAGTTGTGTAGGCACTAGGGGGTCCTCAATGGCAAGATCATTCCATAAGTGGTGGGCCCCCACTGAAAAGACCCTTCTAATTTTCCTGTCAGAGGGAAATTAAAGTGGTGGTGCCAAGCCACCCAGCGCAGAAGAGCGGCCCTGTGTTTTAGAGAGTTTTCTATTTGAACAGTTACCAAAGGACTGTGGTCTATCTGAAGGTGTTTTGTCTAATACCAGTTTAAAGATAAAGAATAATGAGAATTAGTGCCTGTAAACTAACGGTGGATACCTAGACAGCAGGATGAACAGGTATGCACATAAATCACCTAGTTACAGGCATTTGTTATGGGTAAAATCCTGGATTTCTACTTTAGTTAGAACAATTATTTCTTAATTTACATTGGTACATAGGAATCCCCAGATGAAATTTTATGTAAATTGAAGGCAATACATATCCTCTTTTTTGAGAAATCATAACCAGCAAACCACTTATGAGGTGCTTGAACATGCTGGGTACTGACAATGGAGCTGGCCAGCATCCCCAAAGAACACTGCTGGTATAATTTCAAGGGAAAAACAGATCCATAAGCTAATAAGCCCTGTCCTTTAGAGATCACAGCATAAAATCATTCCAAGATTATTATATCATCACAAACATGTCACTGAGTCCATTCTCATAAACCATAGGTTTTTAGAAAAGATTGATTACTTTGGGAGTAGATTACTTTGGGACCGGGCGGGGCTCCTCTTGAACCCGCTGGCTTCCATTTCTGAGGCCTCATGGAGAATGGGTGAGGTTCCAGAGGACTGGAGGGTGGCATCAGTGGCCCCAATTTTTAAAAAGGGTAGTAGATGGGTCATGGGAAATTACAGACTGGTTAGCCTTATGTCCATTGTACGAAAGACAATGGGAAGGCTTGTAATAGCGAGAGATCTAGTAACCCTAAATAGGGAAGGGAGACTGGTAGTCACACAACACGGCTTCCGCAAAAACAGGTCCTGCCAGAAAAACCTTGTGGAATTCTATGGCAAGGTTTCAAGGTGGCTCAACAGAGGGGATGTGGTGGATGTGATTTACCTGGATTTCAGCAAGGCCTTTGACAAAGTGCCTCATAATATCCTGGTTGAGAAATTGAGGAGTTTTGGGATAGACCAATGCACTGTCCAATGGATTAGGGCATGGTTGACTGACCAAGAGTGGAGGGTAACTATTAGTGGGGAATAATCAGGATGGTGGCCACTGTTCAATGGTTTCATCATCGACCTGGAAGAAGGGGTGACCAGTCTGCTGATCAAATTTGCAGTTGATACTAAAATAGGGGCAGTAATTCCAACTGAGGAGCAGGTACTCTGGATCCAGAAGGATCTGGACAGACTATGGAAGTGCACAGAGGACAACAGGATGGCATTCAGTGTGGATAAGTGCAAGGTCTTGCCCTTGGGGCATAGGAATGGGTGTCATAAGTACAAGTTAGGGGACAAGTGGCTGGAGAGCAGCACTTATCCAAGTGATCTTGGGATACTGGTTGACTGCAGGCTAAACATCAGTCAGCAGTGTGATGCGGCGGTCAAGAGGGCGAATGCCACCCTTGGTTGCATAGTCAGAAGCATGGGTTCTAGAGCGAGATAAGTATGACTACCACTCTATACGACTCTGGTGTGCCCACAACTGGAGAATCGTGTTCAGTCCTGGGCCCCTCATTACAGGAAGGATATAGCCAGGTTAGAGTCAGTGCAGCGAAGGGTGCAAGGATGGTGGCCAGATTGCAAGGAACGCCATATGAGGCGAGACTGAGGGAACTGGGTCTTTTCAGTCTGGAGAAGAGGAGACTCCAAGGGGATCTGTTGGAAACATATAGGTACGGAGGTGGACAGAGACCTGTTCTCCCCTGCAGAGGAGGGCAGGACGCACTGCAATGGAGTGAAGCTCAGGGAACCAAGGTTCAGTTTGGATGCCAAGAAGTACTTTCTGACAGTTAGGACACCAAGGGTATGGAATGGGTTTCCACAGGAGGCGTTTGAAGCCCCATTGGTGAGGGTATTCAAGTATAGGCTGGACATGCACATGATAGGCATGCCATGAATGTAGCTGGCTGGAGCCATGGGTCAGACTAGATGGCCTGGGAGACCCCTTCTGACTCACTCAGTTTCTATGTTCCTATATTTGTATTGTAATTCTGAAAAACACTACTGACTTTATTTCAGACTCCTAATTTTGTGATAATAGATACTGCATTACAGCTTGAATAGTGAAGGTCAGGAGGCCATGCTCTTAACTAGTGTACATACCACTTGAACAGTTTTCAAGGAGAAATCTCTTTTTATAATACCCCACCCTAAAGTAGTTTCCCCAGATTCAGGCAGTGTAGTTGATAAACATTTTTTTTAATCTTAGCATAATTCTACTGCCCAAGTGATTTTTAAAGAAAGAAGCCTGGGGTGGCATAAAGGACAGTGCTGTAGCTCAAAATGCATGTTATGGTAGTGAAACGCTCAGAAACAGACCTAGTGGTGAATGCTCTCTCGGATTGCTTTCTCTACTATAACAATATATTTTGTAATATTTTAATATCACCTTTTAATCATAACAACTCTTGGAATGGTTTATAACAATAAAAACTGATGAAAAAGATTTGAGCCATCATAAGAATCATTACAGTTTTGGAAGGGGGAATATCCTGAAATATTTGAAGGTTTTTAAAAATTTTAACATGTATTCTTGGTCCTGGTGGTGGGGAGCACACTGGTATAATTATCATTTTTATTGTATGTCAAATTCTAAACTACATGTAGTGTTATTTTGTTTGCATTTCAGATTGGGAATTAAAAATATATACACGAATAACAAATCAGATGTATGGTCAGATGTATCAGATGTATGGTCCATACAAATCGGATGTATGGTCCAGTGATAATAATAGATTATTATTATGTCTCACATTAATAGATTCTGAATGCCATCAACTGGTGGTACATCAAGCTATGCTATCATGTGTCTCCTGGCTCTGTCTCATGGAAAACACTTGTGGTAAAGAGATGGCAGGGGGCAGAAACTCTCCAAAGCCGTTGTTCTAGTGTATTGAAGTGATTATACTACTAATACTTCTGTTATTATGAATTATAATACAATGGTTGGGCTCATGTCATATGAGACTGTTAGTGGGGTTTGACTCTCTTGAGCTGCATTTCAAATATTACATGATACGTGCAATTCATTATACTCACAAGCCTCAAAATTCTGAAGGCACTTCCAAGGGTTCCAAGGGAAGGAGTGAGTGTCCTGAGAGCAGGCATGGGCAAAGTATAGGCTTGTTTTGTTTTTCACTAGAACCCCAGGCTCCCATTACTGGAGTCAAGCGCAAAAGTGTAGCTGCAGGTGGTAGCAGCAATAAAATATTGCAATGCAGCAGCAAGAGACCTGAATGCCACCCAAGTGCATATGCTTCATGTTAAAGGTCAAAGTGTACAGTGGCATTAAATGCATTTTTATAGCTAAGGAGTAGGGTTTTTTGAAATGAAAACTGCATCAGGTTGAAGCATAATTAATTGGATCAGTGCACATGTGGAGGAGGAATTTAACTGTGATCCTAAGGAAAACTCCATTTTTGAAGCTAATCTTATGACAGGTTTGTATGTACTTAATGGCTACTGCACAGTGATGGAGCAACTGCCTGTACTTTCTCTTTCAGTCAGCATTCAACTGCCACTGTTAAGTGCATGTGGGGTTCCTTGAATTGGCATTATATTGTTATTATGGAAATTTTATCTTTTACTGCATTGCTTGCCGCAAACACTTGAAAGAGGCAAGACAGCAATTGAGCAAACCAATTGGTAAAACAGTTTTCTGCCTTGGGCTTTGCATATAGCACATGTGACCAGCATACTGTCTTACATAGTTTGTCAAACATTGGTACATCTCAGGTGAATTAGAAAGCACTTAAAAACAAAGTCTCCCACCCCACATCTAGCCTCTTCTTTATCACTGGTACACATGAAAAAAACAGCCTAAAATGATGCAGAGTGAAGTCAAATGCTTTCACTGTATGTAAGGTACACTGGATTGATATCCTGCCCAGCATGCAGCCTGCTCTATCTCATTGCCAAAGGAAAAATAAAATAT